ACCTGGAGGGGGTGTGTGCGGCGCTGGTCACACCAACATGAAAATCTTTTCCACTTCACCAGATATGTGGCTCTCGTGTAGAGCTTCCTGCTGTCTAGCAGGACCTGTCTTACTTGGTCCGAACACAGAAGCTCCGTGGGGTTCAGCCATGCAGCTTCCAGGCCGTGAGGTGGAGGGACCGTAGGTCAGGATGACAGAGGCGACCGTGGTCCTGAGCGAGTAGGTCGGGGAGGAGAAGCAATGTGACCGGTACGTCCACTTACAGCTCCAGCAGCGTGGTGTACCAATGCTGGAGAGGCCATGCTGGAGCTATCAGAATCAAGCTAGGGAAACGTGGAGAACTCGCTAAGCAAGACGCCACAGTTCTAACGACCATCATGGGTGGTAAGAAGGAACTGAGGGGGCACTGGGTCGGCAGGGTCATATATTGAGCACCATGAAGGTGCCACTCCAGGGGGCTCCACAGCTGACCCGATGGATGCTGCTAGGGGAAAGCTTTCCGAGGGCCGTGCACGCAGTGCATGCACACCTAATTGGAATCAATATGAGCAATACTCGAAGAAGAATCGATAGGCACTGCTGTCATCATAAAATGAGGAAAGTGTAGAAAGTGTTTTAAAGTATTTTGTGAAAGACTGCACGATAAATTAAAGTCCAGTTAAGAGGGAGATTCTACAGCAGCTCTTGAATAATCAGTGTTTACAAATCCTGAGCTCTGTAATTACATTGCATAAAATATTTGTGTTTTTAATTTAGATTGAACTGGCCAATCCAGATGATGTTTTAGAAGAGGCCCAGGCAATGCTTGATGACAGCCAAGAATGAGAAAAGGCTACTGATAAAGATATGAGAAAAGAACACAAGACTCATTGTTACTTCTTCATTTGAATCATCTTTCTAGATCCATGGTATATGAGACGGTGTGTTTTGTAAAGCCGAGAAGAAGCACCCAAACCCACTTTGGTCTCAAGAAATTAATTAGTTCCTCAAAACTGCCACAATGTATATAGGTTTCAGAGTAGCAGCCGTGTTAGTCTGTATCCGCAAAAAGAAGAACAGGAGGACTTGTGGCACCTTAGAGACTAACAAATTTATTAAAACATACGCTGTCGTTTTTGCCTTACCACTTCATGAGAAAAGAAAAGAACTACCCCGAAAAAG